ACGTCACAGCTACGTGTCACTAGGACAATTCGTAAAGTGCAGGATCTTAAAGTGCAACAAATACCCACGTCTGGCTCTGAGCGCTATCTAAGGTGCAGCATGGAGGGATAGGGAGATGGAGCGTAAGTGCTAGTTCGATTTAGCAGCAAAGGAGGCAGGCGCCTTAAAGTGCTCTATTGAGTTCTTAGTACCAATTAGCAGCAGGTAGATCGGAACACTAAAGTGCTATATTAAGCAATATGTAAACACCGTATTAATGAGTTGGCAGTAATCTCAGTTGGTAAAGTTATTATGATTCAAGATGTAATCTATGGACGGCTGATGTAACAGCGAATAAGTCTCTCAGTCTTCCGGAGATGTTCGACACGGCGGTGGTCAGCACAAGATGGTCTACAATATCGGTCAACACAGAAAGGTCAGCACAAAAAACTGCAGTATCGGTCAACACAGAAGGTAGAGGCCCAGGTGGTAAAAGATGGTAAAGGCCCAGGTGGCCAGGGCCCGCAAACAGCCCTCGCAGATGGTAAAGGCCCAGATGGTAAAGAGCAGCGGCGTTGGGCCTGGCGGCTAAGGCGTCTAGTACAGATGGTAGAAGCCCAGATGGAAGGGCCCAGTTGGAGCGGTGCTCGCGGCGCAGCGGTCTGCTTGGTGAGGCCCAGGTGGTAAAGGCCCCAACTAGAACAGCGCTCGCGGACCGCCCAGAGAAGGCCCAGATGATTAGAGCGGCAAAGGCCCACGAGTGACTTGGCTGCTAAGAGGGAACGCTCCAGTAAGGCCGTAGATGGAGGCGGCCTCGGCGCTCTACCTCTCCTCCCCGCGTTCCACCTCTGAGCTCCGGCAGCCGCCCCAAAAACAAGGCCGCAATGGCGGCGGCGCAGTCCCGCGGAGGCGGCGGAAGCGGCAGCCCCACCTCCCAGGCGGCCCCAGCGGCAGCACGGGCAGCGGCCCCGACGGGTGGCTTGGCTGCTGAGAGGGAACGCTCCTGCAAGGCCGCAGATGGAGGCGGCCTCGGCGCTCTACCTCTCCTCTCCACGTTCCACCTCTGGGCTCCGGCAGCTGCCCCAGTAACAAGGCCGCAAATGGCGGCGGCGCGGTCTTGCGGAGGCGGCAGAAGCAGCAGCCCCACCTCCTAGGCGGCCCCAGCGGCTGCACGGGCAGCGGCTCCGACGAGAGGCTTGGCTGCTGAGAGGGAACGCTCCCGCCAGGCCGTAGATGGAGACGGCCTCGGCGCTCTGCTTCCCCTCTCCGCGTTCCACCTCCGGGCTCCGGCAGCTGCCCCAACAGCAAGGCCGCAATGGCGTCGGAGCGGAGCGGTCCCACGGAGGCGGCGAACGCCGCAGCACCACCTTCTAGGCAGCCCCAGCGGCAGCACGGGCAGCGGCTCGACCCCCCACAGAGCCCGAATGAAGCTCCAGCACTCACCAGGTGAGGTTTTGGGGGCTATGGTCTTGTTAAAGGAGGGAGGAAGCCGGCCGCGTTGGAATGGCGGCGCTCCCTTGTCTTCCTCCGCCTTCCCGGTTCCTTCTCCTTGGCTCCTCGGCTTCCCCAGATCACTCGGGCCTCTTCAGGACCCATGAGGTTCAGGTCTCTCTTTCCTCAGTTTGAGATGGTCGAGGGGGGGGGGGTCGACCGGATTCCCCCCGATTGAGTTGTTCAAGTGGTGCAGCTCAGCGTTTTGCTGCTGACCGCCATACCGGAACCGCTGAACCACTGAGGACTTTAAGATCATCTGGGGAGACCCTGCTTTTGGTCCCGCCCTCGTCAGAAGCACATTTGGCGGGGACGAGAGACAGGGCCTTCTCAGTGGTGGCCCCTCGGCTATGAAATGCCCTCCCTAGGGAAATCAGATCTGCTCTTCTCCCTCTTGACATTTCAGAGGCAAGTTAAAACATGGCTATTCGAGCAAGCATTTACAAATACAGAGTAGCTAATACGGGAAATCGAATGACCTGACAATGGAATTGGACAATGCTTGATAATAATGAGACGCTGATGATGTTGCTTTTATTGTTTTTATGATGTCTTATACTGCTCAATGTTTTTTATCTATTATGTTTTATGTATACTGATATGTTGGAAACCGCCTTGAGTCGCCAATTGGCTGAGAAAGGCAGTATACAAATACAGTGAACAAATAATAAATAAATACCTGGTATACAGGATGTATTTTCATTCACTGGACCAAATTTGGCACAATAGCCCGATATGCCCAAATTTGAATATTGGTGGGGTTAGGAGGGTTGATTTTGTCATTTGGGAGTCATAGTTGCTAGAATTTATAGTTAACCTACAATCAAAGAGCATTCTGAACCACACCAACGATATAATTGGGTCAAGCTTCTCACACAGAACCCCCATGCCTTGAATGGACGTGCTGGCACAAGCCTCCCTCCAGCCTCACACACTCTCCCTCACCCCGCACATGTGCACCATGCTTCTATGCGCCAAGCACACCTGCTCTCTCCTCCCTGCTTTGAGTCTCAGAAACAGCCCTCCCCTTGGCTGAGAGGCCAACTGAGAGGCCAGCCATTCACAGGAGGAGGGCTTTTGGTGGAAGGATTTGCCGTCGGTTTCCAAAAAGGAAGAGAACAACAGGCAGAGAGATCTTCAACTTCTCTGCTAAAGGGGTTCCTAAGACCATCAGAAATATATGTTTACTGATGGTCTTTGGTGACCCCTCTGGAAGCCTCTCTGGACCCACAGGTTGAGAAACACTGTCTTATAGCATTTTAAAGGAGTGAGGTTGTTCTGACACATGAGGATGAGCAATTCCTCTTTATCTCACTGGTAAATGTGGTAAAGGTAAAGGTTTTCCCCTGACATTAAGTCCAGTCGTGTCCAACTCTGGAGGTTAGTGCTCACAAAATCATAGAATCAAAGCGTTGGAAGAGACCTCATGGGCCATCCAGTCCAACCCCATTCTGCCAAGAAGTAGAAATATTGGATTCAAATCATCCCTGGCCAATGGCCATCCAGCTTCTGTTTAAAAGCTTCCAAAGAAGGAGCCTCCACCACACTCCGGGGCAGAGAGTTCCACTGCTGAACGGCTTTCACAGTCAGGAAGTTCTTCCTCATGTTCAGATGGAATCTCCTCTCTTGAAGTTTGAAGCCATTGTTCCATGTCCTAGTCTCCAGGGAAGCAGAAAACAAGCTTGCTCCCTCCTCCCTGTGGCTTCATCTCACATATTTATACATGGCTATCATATCTCCTCTCAGCCTTCTCTTCTTCAGGCTAAACATGTCCAGCTCCTTAAGCCGCTCCTCAGAAGGCTTGTTTACCATCATCTCCATTTCTAAGCCAAAGAGCCAGTCTTGTCCATAGACACCTCCAAGGTCATGTGGCTGGCATGACCGCATGGAACACCGGTAAATGTGTGCATCAAGAAAAATAGCTAGCCATTTGATCCCTTTTCAACACAACCAAGATGTGTCACCAGGGGCAGCTGAACTCTGCCTAATGATAGGGCTGGCCCTGTATTTAGATGCTTTGCTAATGTAAGGGCTCTTCAAAACTCCCTTTGTCCTTCGCTTTTCTTTATTTCTTCTTCCTTCCCCTTTCCTCTTGTATTTAGTTTCTTAGGACTGAACTCGACATGACAGCAGCATTAATATTCTTTGTTCATGCATCAGAACTGTTTAAAGTATAAAATGTGAAGGACTTGTGTAATTCTTCCCCTTCTCGTGTTCCAGCTTTCCTTCATTTCAAATGCTTTCCTCCCAAACTGGCATAGTAGAATGTTAACTTGACCCATATTTTATTTTATTTTATTGGAAAAAGAAGTCCTTTAAGCAACAGCTTAACCCTTCATTTTGGATGCTGCGTTGGTGCGGAGGATTAGCTAACCCATTTATTTAAGAAAATCTCCCTCCTTGCTCCGATGCACTTTTTGTTTTTCTGTAGGGAAGCCTTCAAAAGTGCAACTCCTGATCTGCATCTGAAATGATGTTGTCTTTTTTATACCTTCCAGTTCCAGCTCAGCTTGTTGTATGCATGAAGCAGATCTCACCCCTTCCTTCATGTTTATTTATTTTATTTATTTAATGCATTTCTACCCCACCCTTCTCCAGGGGCGGCTCAACCCATTACGCAAAGTAAGCATTTGCAGTATAGTTGATTTTGCCCAGGGGAGCTCTTGAGGCGCTCTTGGGGGAAAATAGACCTTGACATATGCGAGTTGTAGTTACTGGGATGTATAGTTCACCTACAATCAAAGAGCATTCTGAACTCCGCCGATGATGGAATTGAACCAAATATGGCACACAGAACTCCCACAACAAACAGAAAATATATATCAGTGATTGGTTGTGGGGGCGGGGGGGAAATACTGTTTGCTTACTGTTGAAAATTACCTAGGGCTGCCTCTGCCCTTCTCCCCCCGAAGGGGGACTCGCCCAAGCATCATATGATGCTATCAGCATATAAACAGTCAAAAATCACATTTAAAACAGTACAAATCATTAAAAACATTATACAAATTCATTAAACAATAAATTAAACATGCCAATTAAAACCAAGTCCAAATCAGGGTAAATGCAATGTCACAGGTATCCTAAGTCTTGTTGCCAATTACCACTGTCCACTAATCGAACACCTGGCCCCAAAGCCAAGTCTTCAGTTGTCTTCTAAAGGACAGGAGGGAGGTGGCCAATCTGATCTCTTTAGGGAGAGAGTTCCACAGATGGGGGGCCACTGCTGAGAAGGCCCTGTCTCTCATCCCCACCAACTGCATTTGCGAAAGTGGTGAGATCAAGAGCAGGGCCTCTCTTGACGATCTTAAGTCTATCCTTACACTCCAGACTGAATCCATTTGAAGCCAATGGATTTACAAACTCCTCTGCCATTCTTGTAGGTATAAACATTGATTAAAACCTAGCAAGCATAAATGCACACTCATTTGTATTTACCAAACTTTGCAGCTCATGGAATTGAGGTAGTGACGGGTAATATACACATTGCTATCGATAACAAAGGAACTGAGTCCTATGTCTTTCTATTTCAGCCTCCCTATGTGCTGCGGAACGAGGTCCTTTCTCTTGGCAAAGGGGAAGGTAGAGCCATAACCAAGCTCTTGCTCGATATTCGAGATGATGATAACCCCCAGGATGTGACGGTGGCCATTTTAGATCCTCCGCATCATGGGCGGATAGCCAAGCTTTCTGGGGAGACGCCATCAGTGATGCATACTTTCCAACTGAGTGACCTTGCTGAAGGCCTAGTGCATTACATCCATGATGGATCCAACAGTTTAGAAGACATGGTTCTCCTCCAAGCCAGCGATGGTTACTACTTTCAGAATATACTCTTCCACATCAAGATTGTTCCAGAGGTAAGTGCTGTTGTGATGTCAGCTTCCTGCAGAAAGACATGCTTTGTAGCCCTGTGAGTGTATCCATAGAAGTAAATTGTGTCTTTAGGTTCAGTGAGATGTACTTAACAAGGAAATATGCAAATGAATGCAGTTTCAACAAGGCCTTGCATACATTCTAAACACTGTAATTGTGGCTGTGCTGGAGTCTCTAATAGAGTGGAGGCTATATGAATTAAACATGACATCCATGTAAATCTTTAGCCATGTGAGGGAGAATAGTTGGACCCCACAGTGACACAATGGGTTAAACCCTTGTGCTGGCAGGACTGCTGACCAAAAGAGCAGCAGTTCGAATCTGGGGAGTGGGGTGAGTGTCTGTCTGTCAGCTCCAGCTTCTCATGCGGGGACATGAGAGAAGCCTCCCAGGGGATGGTAAAATATCCAGGTGTACCCTGGGCAACATCCTTGCAGACAGCAAATTCTTTCACACCAGAAACGACTTGCAGTTTCTCAAGTCACCCCTGACACCAAAAAAATGAGAATAGTTGTGTGCTTCGCTGTTAACTACCACCAGATTGACTTTGATTTCAGCAATCTATGAAGCAGAGATATTCAAGTCATCCTGTCCTCAGCACCTCTGCTCAGGTCTTGAATATTCATGCCTGTGGCTTCCTGGGTTTAATTTATCCATCTTTATTGAGGTCTTCTTCTTTTCCTACTGCCTTGCCAAGCTTTACTGTCTTTTCTAGTGAGCCTAATAATATGTCCGAAGTATGATAGCCTCAGTTTGATCTGAGGAGAATTAGGGCTTGATTTGCTGTAAGACCCATGTATCTGTCCACTCTCCTCTAGCACCACTTGTCATATGTGTTGGTTTTCTTCCTATCAGCTTTTTTTCACTGTTCAGCTTTCACAGCCATTCATAGAAATGTGTAATTCAATAACATGGACAATCTTAAATTTAGTATTCATTGATATACTTTTGCGTGTTTTTCTATTTCCTTCATGGTGGCCCTTCTGAATTCTAGTGGTGTTATGATTTCTTCATGCAGTCTCCATTCTGATTTACGACTGAGACGAGCAATAGTAAATCTTGAATTATTTCAATATCTTTATTGCCTACTTTAAAGTCATGTAAACCATCTGTGGTGTTTAATGTTTTGATTTCTTAATGTTATGTAAACTTGAGTTTGCACTTTCTTCCTTGGCTTTCTTCAGTAATTGTTCCAAGTCTTTGTTGTTTTATTAAGCTATACATTTGGTCAAAACACTATGTTTAAAATATTAAAACACATGAAATACACATTACAGATTACAAACACCACACCCAATCATATGTGGTTGTATCAAAGTTAACGAAGACTGAAAGCTTGTCAAAACAAGAAGATCTTTGCATACCAATAGAGGGAGTTGCAAAATGCTAGGAGGAGCATGACAAATCTCTGAGTGTTCCTTACCTAAGAAAGCCCTATGAATCTCATGGGGATCACTATATAGGAGAGACTTTGATGTTACATGCATCTGTTTGGTGGATGAGAATCCAGTATGTTTTTGGAGGGCTATAATTTCACACTTCTAATTTTAAGTGGGGGAAAGTACCCCCACTTAAAATTGAGATGCCTGACTTGGCTATGGTAGTCCACACCTTAGTCACATCCCGTTTGGACTACTTCAACACTCTCTACATGTGACTGCCTTTGAAGATAATTTGGAAGCTTCAAATGGTCCAGAGATTAGCAGCCAGGTTACTAACTGGAGCATCATTCAGGGACAGAACCACTCCCATGTTGCAGCAGATCCACTGGCTGCCAGTCTGCTTCTGAGCAAAATACTTACTGTTAAAGCCCTAAATGGCTTAGGTCCAGACTATTTGACAAACCGCATCTTCCTCTACAGACCAACTCAGACACTGTGGTCATTGGAGGAGGTCCTCCTCTCAGTTTCACCCCCATCCCAAGCACAGCTGGTGGGAACGAGAGAAAGGGCCTTCTCTGTGACTGCTCCCCCCCCCCACCTCTGGAACTCCCTTCCTAAGGAGTTAAAGATGGCCCCCTCCCTCTCCATTTTCAAAAAACAAGTATTTTTTTGTCGTGTCAGGAGTGTCCTGTTGTGAGAGAATTGGCTGTCTGCAAGGATGTTGCCCAGGGGACACCCAGATGATTTTTGATGTTTTATCATCCTTGTGGGAGGCTTCTTTCATGTCCCCGCATGAGGAGCTGGAGCTGATAGAGGGAGCTCATCTGCCTCTCCCTGGATTTGAACCTGCGACCTGTCGGTCTCCAGTCCTGCTGGCACAGGGGTTTAACCCACTTCACCACTGGGGGCTCCTGAAAAACAGCTGAAGACATACCTTTGCTCACTGGCTTATGAGGAGTAGGAATAGCAGTTGGTAATACTACCATTATACCTCTGATTAATCATTTCCATCCGAATCCATGCCCTGCTCACTCCACCAGTTCAATAGATATCTTGAGCAATGACTAATCAACTTGCCCCAAGGAAATGGAAAATTATTGTTTCCATTCGATGTTTGATGTATTATCTTATGTGTGTTATAACAGGCTGTGCTTCTTATTTAATTTTAGTTTGTTAAGTTATAATTCGAATTTATATGTTGGGTTGTATAAATTTGTTAGTATGGATGTATTGTTGTTGTATTGGGCATTGAATGTTTGCCTTTTATATTTGGAATCCACCCTGAGTTCCTTTGGGGAGGTAGAGCGGAATATAAATAAAGTTTATTATTTTATTTGAAGTATCACTATATTTTGAGGAAGGATCTAGAGCAGTATTTCTCAACCTGGGGGTCAGGACCCCTGGGGGGGGGGGTCACAAAGGGGTGTCAGCATCAGAAAACACAGTATTTTCTGTTGGTCATGGGGGTTCTAAGTGGTAAGTTTGGCCCAAGTCTATCGTTGTTGGGGTTCAGAATGCTCTTTGATTGTAGGTTAACTATAAATCCTAGCAACTACAACTCCTAATTGCCAAGGTCTCTTTTCCCAAACTCCACCACTGTTCACATTTGGGTATATTGAGTATTCATGCCAACTTTGGTCCAGATRCATCATTGTTTGAGTCCACAGTGCTCTCTGGATGTAGATGAACTTCAACTCCAAAACTCAAGGTTAATGCCCACCACACCTTTCCAGTATTTTCTGTTGGTCATGGGAGTTCTGTGTGCRAAGTTTGGTTCAATTCCATTGTTGGTGGAGTTCAGAATGCTCTTTGATAGTGAGATGAACTATAAATCACAGCAACTACAACTCCCAAATGACAAAATCAATCCCCCCCCCACCCCACCAGTATTCAAATTTGGGTGTCTCGAGTATTTGTGCCCAATTTGTCCAGTGAAGGAAAAATATCTGCATATCAGATATTTACATTACGATTCATAACAGAAGCAAAATTACAGTTATGGAGTAGCAACAAAAAAATTTATTATTGGGGGTCATCACAATATGAGGAACTGTATGAAGGGGTCACGGCATTAGGAAGGTTGAGAACCACTGATTTAGAGCATGTTGCTTCCCTTGCTGAGGAATTGCGTGGTTTCTATTCTTGGACTTTACAAGCATTGTGTTTTTTTAGTATTGTACCACATACTATGCAAAAGGGAGGGAATGTGTGTGGCAGTGTGGGGACCTCTCCTGCAGCTCCCCATTCTGTGTACAGGTGGATTGTAATAACTTGTATATTAGCTTTTTGTGGTTTGCAGACAAAATTACAACAATATGGCTTAGCTTTCATTGCCTGCCAATCCCTGCAGCTGAGAGAGGCCTTTGCATGTGGCAAGGGGTTTGCTTGTTCTCACTTTGATTCCTTGTAGATTTGTAGAGCATTTAATAACAGAGAGATTTTCATTTAATTTAGACATGCTGCAACAAAGCAGCATCTCGTGTGCTTGGCAACAGAAAGCACCTTCTGTTTTGAATCGAGAGTCCCATCTTGTTTCTTGTGGAGACAAGCCAGAACAGCAGCTCTCAAGGCATTTGAAAACTATGGGTATTCTGCCTCTGAATATGGAAGCTCTGTTTTTATATTTCAAGAATAACAATGTTTGTTTTGCTGTGAGTTTTACAGGCTGTATAGCCATATTCCAGAAGCATTCTCTCCTGACATTCTCAAGCATTCTGGAGCATGGCCATACAGCCCAGAAAACTCACAGCAACCCAGTCATGACACCTTCGAGAAGACCCAACAATGATTGATCCATCTTGTTTAATTTTTAATAAAAGTTTGTGAGTGTGAATTCGCTAAGTTTGATTTTGATTTGCATATATGCAGAGCTGTTTTTGCCATTTCTTAGCACAGTAGAGTCTCGCTTATCCAACCTCTGCTCATCCAACGTTCTGTTTTATCCAATGCAGTATGCCTCCTGCCGGGATCCACAACTGTTTCAATACATTGCAATGTTTTGGTCCTAAATTCATAAATACAGTAATTACTACATAACGTTATTGTGTATTCAACTGCTTTTTCTGTCAATTTATTGTAAAACATGCTGTTTTGGTGCTTAATTTGTAAAATCATAACATAATTTTTTGTTTAATAGGCTTTTCCTTAAGCCCTCCTTATTATCCAACATTTTTGCATATCCAACCTTCTGCCGGCCCGTTTATGTTGGATAATCAAGACTCTACTGTATGCCATTCAGTCCAATTGGATCGCTATGGTCCATCTTCCCCAGCTTGAGGCTCCTAAGATATCTGATACTCAAACACCTATTATCCCCAGGCAGTGTGGCCAGCACTTAGTTTTATTTTATTTTTAAACTTTTTCTCTATCTCACCAAAAGCTGTTTCAACCTTTTATCAATTTTGTATCAGTTTTATGGACTTCCTGCAGATGCATCCCTCTTTTCACTCATTCATTTGAAATTTATGCCCCATTTTTCTTCTGATATTAGACCTGTAATTCAGTGTGGAATGGAGCAAAATGCAATAAAATGAATATAATACAAAAGTTGTAAATCTTTGTAAGATGAAGTGTCCAAAAGTGGTTATCTTCAAGTGGCATTA